TAATAATAATAATAATAATAATAATAATAATAATAATAATAATAATATTAATAAATGTAAAAGAAACCAAACAACCCAAAACACAAGTCCTGTGTCCTGCCTTGGGTTTATTTATTCCATTACTTGCTGAATTCTCTGATATTTGACTCTGTAGTCAGGCTGTGTGTCCCTCTCTCATGATGATCCCCTCTGTTGGTGTCCCTGAGACAGTGAACCCTGCCATTCAGTGCTTCACAGATGAGAATCCCTCAAGTAACCCTTTTGGTAAGGATCAGGGCCATACATATTGGCTCTTATTGCTCTGTCTGAAGAATGCTCCCCATCTAACATCCCTGAACACAAAAGTTTGAAGAACTTGAGTGAAAACACTTTTTTTTTTTGCTTTTTACATTTTTAAATTTTTAAAATAATTTATTCACTTTATATTCTGATTGTAGCCCTTTTCCTCATCTCCTCTTAGTCCCACCCTCCTTCTCCCCCACCCCCGGCCCCATGTCCCTCCACTAGTCCACTGAAGGGGGGGGGCACTCCTCCCCTACCATCTGACCCTGGTTTATGAGGTCTCATCAAGTCCCATTAGGACTGCCTGGATCCTCTTCCTCCAGAGTAAAAGCACTTTCAACTTCTCAAACATGTATTCTGTTTCCAGTAAGACCAAATGGGTCAACAGCAATGTCATACACACTGATTCATGCTGGGTTGTACTTGTATGGAGTGTTTGAGGTGGTAGCAATAATTTGATGTTTAGAGAGTCCTTTGCTTTGCAGCAAAATGAGTTTTTGATTTAATAAGTGTGGAAAATAAACTAATAACTTTTGAAATGAGCACCATTTGTATGATAGAAAGGAGTGAATTTAAAATACTGTAGTGGTGGTTCTGGGGAAAGCTGAGCTATGCAGTTTCCCTGTTCATTTTGGAAAGGTTGCTTGTTACTCGTGTTTAACTGGATATACATTTTAAAAAAAGTTCTCTACAGTATGCAATAGCCTGCAATAGCTTTTTAATAATGTTGCAGTATTTTTCTGCTTTTCTTCATTTGTAACCACTCTGTATGTTAAGAACAGTAATACTTTAATGCAATGTGGTTTTTTTTTGTTTTTTTTTTTGTTTTTTTTTTTTTGGTCTGTTCTTTTTTGATTTTACTATTTAAATTAAAAAAAAATTCTTTGGTAATTTTACATACGAAGACAATGTATTTAGATTATATCTACCTTCTGTTGTTCCCCTCTAACTCATGTCTTCCTCCTCTTCCTCCTTTGCCCAATTAGTGCTGCTTGTATGTATGTGGCTTTAGGGAACCATCCGCTGAAACATCAGCAACCTGCCACAGACCATATACAGTTGAAGAAAACCGATTCTCTCCATCCCAGAATCCCCATCTGAAAATAGCTCCTCAGGTAAAGTAGGGGCCTCATGAGTCCCTCCCTTCTTCTGCTGGAATGTTGACGGGGTTGATCTTGGACCAGCAACCTCAGCTCCTGTAAACTTATGAGTGCTTTGACCCTGTCATGTCTAGAAGACATTAGTTCATGGCAATTTTCCCTGGCCTCTGGCTCTTAAAATCGTTCCATCTCCTCTTCTGTGATATGTATGCCACAGTTAGGAACTGAGCATCCAGCAGTCACTGATTCTCTGTATTTTGACCAGTGTTGAGTCTCTCTATTAACTGCCATCTTCACAAGAAATTTATCTGATGAGGTTCCACGGATATAAGAATGAGTATTTGAGTTGGGTCATGGTAGTGCCTGCCTTTAATCCTAGCATCCAGGAGGCAGATGTAGGGGGTTCTCTGTGGGGTTGGAGAAAAGCCTGCCTAGTCTACATAGTGAGTTTCGGGCCATCCAGGGTTACATAAAAATTTAGGTGTCTTCAAAAAAAAAAAAAAAAATTAAATATTTACTTAAAAGACAGTTTGAGTCTATGACCCTTTAGCAAAATATTAGTAGGTCATTACTTCTTAGCTAAGTTTGCTGTGCCCAGCATGAATGCGCTCCTCTGGAGTGTACCTAAAGCAGCCTAAGTTCAACTGAAAAGTTGTTGGCTACTTCTATAACATTTATGCCAATGTTGCACCAATGGGCATATCTTGCCAGGCTGGTCCTTATTGTAGCTCGTAGGGCTCACAGCTGGGTAAGTCTATTGATGGCTTTTCTCCCCCAGTAGTCTTCTGGCACTATGACGAAGGGAAGGCAGGGTACTTACAGGTCAGTACCACTTGATTTCCTATGCCCTATGAGCATCTGTGGTGTTTTCAGCAATTGAGTCTTACTATCAAGGTCTGGTGGGTCACCAGGAGCGCTCTCAAGCTGTTCCACTACTTTCGTTCTTGCTGTCCCAAGATGATGAGCTTGGCATATTGACGCGGTGGTGAGGGGAAGGCCCTAAGATACAACACCTCCCAGAACTCAGTAATGAGACCCAACGAGAATGGAGCAGGGACCCATAACCAGGAGAGGAAAAGTAATTCCGCCAACTCTTGTCCCAGCTTTCTGGACAAAGTTAATGGATCTAGAAGGTGATTGCCAGCTGATCAAACCAGAGCACACCTGATAGGTCTCCTGAAGTGGGCCCAGGTCACACCGTTTAGTTTTGTGGGCTTGCAGAGGTGGCTGCAGAGGGTGAGGGGCGGCAGCAGCTGTCCTAGTTTACCTTAGGACAGTGGCTGCATCATGGGCGAGATGTGGGAGCGAAGGGATGGCGACAAGGGAGTCTGTCCGGCTGATCACCGTCAAGGCCTGAAAACTTGGATGCTGGATTTTTTTTTTTTTTTAAACAGATTCAAAGCGGCATCCCCTCCTTCCCCCATCCCTTAAGCGCTAAAAATAGCTGTTCCCGGGCGCTGGGGAGAGGCTCCGCCTCTGCTGTGGTTGGGGGTGGGGGTTAGGGGTGGGAGTCTGAGGCGCTGCAGACCCCGGGCCTTGAGCGTGCTGGGTGCCCGGGCTCGGTTGTAGCGTCCGCGTGGCTGGCGGCATCCTCGGCTGCACCGCAGAAGATGGAGTGAGTCTGGACCGGAGAATGGGGTGAGTGGGGACGCGCCGTTCTCCCCGAGACCTTCAGTCACTACCCCCATGCTTCGGGTGACCCCCAGGGTGATCCAGGCCTCCCAGGAAAACTATGCCTGGAATCCAGCCGGGAGCCGCGGGAGGGAGCGCGGTTCCAGGCGGAGCTACTCGGCCGCTGCGCGCGCAGGTTAAACATTAGCGGCTGCGGTCACCCGGCCAGGAACCGAGCTGCGTGGCCGAGGGCGCCTCACGAGGTCCCGTTCCCTGCGCCTCCATCCCAGCGGCCTGGGGCTGTTCTGGACTGAGGTACCCCGCGGGGGAAGAACTCGGACGCGCAGAACGGGGGACGCCTGACACCCAACCCGCAGCTTCTCCAGGAGGGTGGTCTTGGGAATGCAGTTCTTGCAAACAGTAAAGCGATCTAAGGGGCTGAAGATCTGAGTTCTCTAGGGAGGTAGGGATCGGTTACTAACAAGATGATTTTTAAACTAACATTGCCGTTTACTAGTTCCTCCGCTTCCGGTCCCGGGCTGAAGTTTACCCCGAGCACAGCATTAGGGGTGGATGCGATTACAAGTCCACGGGAGACTGGGTACGTACAGGCGAGAGGGTACGAGTCAGGAGCAGAGGACAGGGCCCGCGTAGAATTGGCTTCACAAGAGATCCTGAAGGGCCCCGGGCCGGTGTCTCCAGAAATTGATTTCTAACAGGATTGGGAGAGGCCTAGTGAGTGTGAGGTGTTCTAACCCTGCTCCACCATCCCCTGAGAGTTGAGTGTTCAGCAGGATGGCCAGTACCTCCTGCTTCCTCCCCCAAGGTGTGATCTGACAAGCGAGAACAGCCCTGCTCAGAGAAGGTTGCCTGACTGTGTGCCAGCACCAAGGGTCTGGAGACATCTTCCGTTTGTGGAAATGGATTTAGAGCAATGGTTCTCGAACTTTTTCATGCTGAGACCCCCAACCATGAAATTATTTCGCTGCTCCTTCATAACCGCAATTTTGTTACTGTTATGAGGCATGATGTAAAGGTGTGATACACGGGAAATATGACGTGTGACCCCGAGAGGATCGCGACCCACAGGTTGAGAACCACTGCTTTGGATGCATGCCTCAGGTCGGGAGCAGAACTTTCTAGTGCGGCTGGGCTTCCGGTTCTGTCCTGGGGGCCGAACTTTTGTCAGAGGGTCACTTGTGCTACTCCAAACAGCACGTGGAGAAGGGGGGGGGCGCTTGGTAGGCAGTTCTGAATGCCCACTGACCACTCTGCAGCAAGGCTGACCAATAACCTGCCTCTCACCGGGCCTGGTGACTCTAGCGAGGGGTCTGGCCCAAGATGAAGATGGAGAAGCTCCTGTTAGGAAGCAACAACGCTTTAATAGTCAGGAAACACTGGTGCAGTCTGTCAGCTCTCTCTCCTGCATGAAGCAGCTTTGGTTTGTTTTTGACACTCCTGAGCCTGGGATAGTAGCTCATGCTAGGCCTTATTCTCCAAGGTACTCCCAAGAGCCATCAGTCAAAGCGCCACCTGCATTGTTGTTTTAAAGAAAATCTTTCTGTGACAAACATTCACAATAAGCTTTTATAATCTTTTTTTTTTAAATTATTTGAGAATTTCTTACACGTATTCTGATCATACTCTCCCACACTCACTTCCCTACCTCCCAATTTTGAGGATTCCCCCACCCCGTGTCCAGTTTGTGTTGTCCCACTATTCTTTTTTTCCTTGTTTGTTTGTTTCTCCAGGACAGGCCTTCTCTGTGCAGCCCTGCCTGTCCTGGAATTCACACAGTATGTAGACCTGGCTGGCCTTGAACTCAGAGAGCTCCTCCTGCTTCTGCTGGGATTAAAGGCTAGTGCCTCCACTGCCCAGCTGTCCTACTCCTGTGTGTAGGGCTTGCTCTGGAGTATGGTTGACTTGCCGGGGTCGCGTAAATGCTCTTCTAGTACAGTCTTTTAAAAATACCCTCTCGGATCTGGAGTTGGAGCTCAGTGGTAGGGCTCAAACGTAGCATGTGTGAGGCCCTGCGTTAGCTCTCCACCGACACACTCACACCCACAAAGCAGTGAAGAGGAAACCAGTTTAAGGTTGCTGGGCACAGAGGTCCAGCAACAAGGGAGAGCTTTGTGCCTCCAGGAGTGAATCTCTCTCTCGCTGCTTGGAAGTTCTGAAAGTGGATGCAGGTCCTAGACTAGACAGTGAAGGGTAGAAATGGGGCCTCCTTTTTAATTTTTAAAAAACACCAAAATACGAAGGCCTAAGATGGAGAGCAGGGTCTGTAAAAGTGGCGTTCTGGAAAGTCCCTGGTCTCTCGTTTCCATTAGGGGTTCCAGCAGCGCTCCCTGGCCTCTGCCGTGTGGTGAGCGTGTTTGCAAACTGTGGGAAGGTTTCCTTGGCAGCCATGACAATTAGCTCTAATGACAAGCCCAGAGTTCCCCAGGGCAGGCACTGTGAAGTTAGCTTGGAAGCCAGGGCAAGCTTGTAAATGATTGCCCACAGCCCCTTACAAGCCTGGCATCTTCTGAACGTTCCTCTTGGTTTCGTTTCTGAGGAAGCAAAAGAGACAGTAAGATGTAGAGATGCAATTTAAATGACAAAACAAAGCAAAACAGATGTTCAGACAGTTTTGTGAATATTACCTTTGGCAGAATCCAGGTAGGCAGAAGAGCCATAGAGCTTCAAGGATTTGTTTTCCCAATGGAACCAGTGACTCTGGAGGTAGTAAACACTGTCACACTTTTTTTTTTTTTTTTTAATGTTGAGTGTGGAATTGCTACAGGGGGAAATGCACGTTCTCCCAGTGGAAGCCAGCCTGAAATACTAGCACAAAGCTCCATTTGAATCACTTAACTCATGAGAGTCAAGCAGGCCTGGGGAATTTCCGGGGACCCTATCAAAACCTGTAGAGGCAGGTAAGGGAGCCTCGGCTTTCCTAATGACGGTGAGTCATCTCTGCCTTGTGTCTCTATTCCCACATGTGGGAAAACAGTCTGCCGATAACTCAGTCTGGAGAAGGCCCGCGTCCCTGCCCCTTGGGTGTGTGGTGTCTTGGTAACCAGGAACACGCTCATGTGGCTTTGTCTTCTGCCTCCCATCCTTACCAGGAAGCAAACTTTGTAGCGGCGGCGCAGTGAGGATTTAAGGTCTCCAGCACCGACCCTGTCATGATTTGCTGTGAACCCTGGCAGCCCTTCCGTTCTGCTCAAGAAATCTCAGGTACTGTATTTCCACGACGAAGAACAGTCTGCCGTGTCATTCGAATGTCACCAATGCCGTTGTTCCTGGGAGGTCGGTTGGTGTGATTCAGACTTGGGATGTCAGCAGAAATAGCACCTTTAGTACTGTGCAGGGCATGTAGGTGCTGCTATCATCGGATCACCATCTACATGAATTCCCACACTGCTAGTCTACCTTTTGAAGACAGAACCCCCACACTTCTAGGAACCAGACCTCTAAAGTCATAGAGGGTGGGAGTGATACTTTTGGGGGGTGCAGTAAAACTCGTGAACTGAGAACTGTACTGTAGAGTTCTGTGTAAGGAGAGTGGGGACTCCCTTCACAGTGTTGATGAAGTCTGCTGAGGGAGTGAAAAAGAAAGGTGTGCCGACACTAGGAGAGCAAGCTGTGAGGCCATATCTTGACAGCCACGAAGGGCTCTCTGATGTGCAGGAGCCCACTCCCAAGAGCTTTCGTTAGGAGCCACTGGGGTTAATGTGTGGCTGCTGATGGCCATCACATCAGACATTTTCTGTGACTGCATGAGTCCCCATGAAAGGCGACCAACTCCTGTTGATTCTAACCCTTGGTGGTCCTAGCCTCGTTGCTCCAGAACTCCAAGAACACAAAATTTTGAGGCAAATGGTCTAAGATTTTGGCAGTTGTGTTCAGTCTAATAGCCACCAGGAAACAGGTCAGGGAGTGAGATGTGATAGACTGGAATAAGGCAATGTGCAGCCCCTAAGAACCTCAGACAGGGGGGAACAGAGGGGAAAGAAGGGCGCAGCAATGTCTTGGTGTGGACTCCTCCTTGGATTCTACCCTGGTGCTTACCGCTCTCGAGGGTAAGCTCTGCATATTTTTCTGTCTTTTCGGAGAGTGAACTCTGGAGCCAGACACTGTGAATAGGTGATTGGGAGACAGTCGTTCCTTTCCTGATTCACTCTTCCAGTTTCTTCATCTGTGCAATGGGTCGCCGTGAGAATTAGATGGGACAACGCATGTACAATCTTAGAGCTGTGTATGGAGTTCAGAGATGTTAGCTTTTTTTCCTTTCATTTTTTTTTCTTCCTCCTTTTCCACTTCCCAGTCCTTCATAACAGCAGGAACCATTGCATGGGGTCCTATCTATACTGTATGCTGGCTGTGGTGCCTAGCTCTTTGCAAAGACTTAAGAGCAATTTGCTGACATGGACCAGAGTACTCAGTGCTCTGGGGTCCCAGAGAGGAGCCGTGAAATAAGGACTCTGGACCTAGAAGTGATTTCTGGTGACAGTGAAGAGCAGAGCCTTGAAGCATGTGCCCATCCTGAGCAGAAGGAGGTGGCAGAGGGTCATTTATACTGAGAGCCAGCGGAGACTGTGGCTGGAGCCCAGATCCACACTGAGCTGCTTGGGTCTGAATCCAGCTTCCGGACCTTGGGCAAACATCTTTACTTCTCTGTGACTCAGAATGTGATGGCAACTCTTTAGGAATGGTTTTAGGAAACAGTCTCCACATTGCCATAGTCTTCAGCATTCTACTGCAAGGGGTGTTTTTCTCTACCGGTCTCTACCTTGGTGTGTGTGTGTGTGTGTGTGTGTGTGTGTGTGTGTGTGTGTGTATGATGTAGAAGAGGGGGTATGGCATGCATGTGGAGGTCAGAGGAAAACTTTGTCAAGTCAGTTCTCTCCTCCCACCTGTATTTAGGTCTCAGGGATCTAACTCAGGTCATCAGAATTATGTGGTAATTATCATTTACTCGATGAATGGTCTTGTGGCCTCTCTACCTTGGCTATTGGGGATAGGGGTTCTTACAGACCCCAGAGCTCACTGATTGGCTAGATTGGCTGGCCACTGAAGTCCAGGGATCTGCCTGTGTTTGTTCCTTACCTATTGCTAGGGTTACATGCACATACCATTGTACTTGAGTTTTCTGTGGATTCTGGGGAATGCGAATGCAGGCCTTTGTGCTTCCGGGGGCAGGCACCTTCCCAACTGCTGTCTTCCAGCCCCAGTTATGGATTCTAACATGTTTTCAGCGATGCTGCTGTTGCTGGCCCAGGGAGCTGAGGACTCTGAGAACCATGGTTTTACTAAGTCCTGGACACCAAGGCAGAGAATCAGTTTGTTATCAAGGACATGCTGAGGGTTCTGTTCCACCTGGCATTCCCTGTAATTCATGCTACTTTCCTGGCACGGTTGGAACTTGGGTTTGAAATATAAGCAATTTTGGAGAGTTGGATCCAGAAGTCTCAAGAGGCAGAAAGGACTCGAGCAAAGAAATTTGGGGGTAGTGAAGGCTTAGCAAGGAGCAGGCCCAGAGTAGCTAAAGCAGTGGGTGTCTGAACTCATCCTCAGAAGAATGCAGTGAGAAATGGGCCATAAGTGAATAGCAAATAAAGGGTAGGGGTACCTGCACCTCTACCTTAAAAAAAAGGTGAAAGAATAGTCATTGCTGAACGAGGAGGCTGGCAGAAGTGCGCAGAGGGAGAGTGGGAAGTGGAGCGAGCTGGTGATGGAGAGCTGTGTCCTTATCGTTAGAGAGGGCTGTTAGCAAACACTGGAGGCCGAAGCTTAAATAGTTAAAGAGTGAAGTTCTCAGGCTGTGAGGCCAGGAAGTGGGTGTCCTGTTACCCTTGTGAACAGCATGCCTGGTTACCTGCTGTTGCTCAGAGGCAAGGCTTGTTGTAGGCGATTGTCTCTGAGGCCCCGGCGGTGAGGCTGCAGCTTGGAGCTCAGCATGGTGAGTACCATGTCAGCCAACTGTTTCGTTTGTTACTTGACATGTTGAACGGGGTAGAAATATACTAGTCTTCTTGTGACCATGCAGATGCTTATGCTGGATGGTGCTGTTTTGGGAAGAATATCTGAGAAAGGAAGGGGAGGGGCTGACACTGAAAAAGCTAGGCTCAGGGTATCCTGTGGAACATTCTGAGGAGCATCGAAAGAGGTCTGCTGTCACCACCGCGGCAGCAAGGAGCCACACTTAGCCCCAAGGTGGGGAGCATGGGTGTAGTTAATACAACACATAGTCCCCTCAATACCAACAGTGGGGTTAAGCCCAAACAGATAAACAGCAAGCAAGAGGAGACTTCATGAATGAATGAATTAGAGGCTTAAGGGAAAAGGGGTGAGCATCTCTCAAAGTAAAACTCAGGAGGAGAGCCTTCCCACAGTTGAATAGTTCAGGTCCATAGTCTTTGGAAGCAGGTGCATACGTAGCCACGGCTAAGCTCTGGTACACTCCACCAAGACCCCAGTTTGGCTTGTGCAACTGGCATAAGCCAGGTACAGCATCTGTTTGTAAATTCATACCTAGAGATTGCATGAGGCATGCTGGTGTTACCTCTGAGCCTTTCCCCTGCCCACCGCTGCTTCTCATAGTCTTAGGGAGCAGGTAGAGCTGGCCTGGCCATTGCACTGTCTTTTCCTGGGGAAGGCAGTTCAGAGGGGACAGAATCTTTCCTTTTTCCCTTCTCTGCCCATCTGGCCCCACTGTTTCTTCAAGGCTTTTTTCTTTCTTGGGTTTTTGTGACCTTTTTATGTTGTTGCTTTTCTCATTTTTGTAACGAATGCCTGATAAAAGAAACTGAATAAAGCAAGGGTGTCTTTTGGGTTATGATTGAAAGGAATACAGTCCAGTATTGGGCGGGGGATGGGTGGGGGATGGGTTGGGGGGCGGGTCATGGTGGAAGGGCTGTGAGGTGGCTAACCGCTGCTTCCTCAGCCTGGGACTTCAGGCCGTGGAGTGGACCCACATCTGGGTGGGGCTTCCCTTCTTGGATAATCCCCTCTGGAAACACCCTCATAGACAAGCTGAGAGGTGTGTCTCCTAGGTGACTCCAAACCCGGTCAAGTTGATAAGGAAGATCAACAAAGACGCTTTCCTTCACTGCCTCTGGATTGCATTTAAATGGCAGGATTACACAGGCTGTAAAGAACTGGATAAATGAGGACGTGTGTACTTTTTCTCATCTCAGGCTCTCAGTCTGCAAGGGAAAAAACTATTTCTTTTTAATTAAAAAAATAGTAAAAGTAATAGGTGATGATGGGAGGAACTTTGAATAGCATAGAGAGGTGGAAACTAAAAAGTAAAAATCTAATAGCCACGTTCATTTCCTACAGATAGTCAATGCCAATAGCTTTTGGCTGTTTTAGAACGTCTGTTCTTTAGAAAGTCTGCACTTATGAAATCAGGCATGTAAATGAGTCATGTGAATAACAACTGTGCATATTTTACATAATCAGAACAGGTATGAGTCACTCAAATGAACACGGGAGGGCTCATCTATCGAACCACCTGATTAATAAACCTGTTTGTAATCTATCTATCCATTTATTTATCCTCACTTCATGGTCTCATTTCTGTCTCTCACAGACAGACACCCCAATGAGATCTATATCTACATAATTTTTTGAGTTATTACTAAATGTGATTATATTAATATTGAATGAGAAATAATGGTATATACATATATGTGTATATGTGTGTTCATTCGAAGTCATTATTCTCCATCAGTACATAAAAACTGTCTTGCCTTTATGAGTAGCCACAGAGTATATCATTGTATAGAAATGCCATTTGTATCCCATATTGTACTTTGCTTTCATGTATATATGTATATATATGTCTTCATGCACCAGGCCTGTTTTTTTTTTTTTCCAAAAAATTCAAATTTTCTCTTCAGTGCTGGAGATATACAGTGTCTTATGAATGCTAGGCAATCACTACTGAACTGCATTCCAGCCACAGTTATAATTTGTAGTAGTAGTATATTAATTTTAAATTCCCTTTGATATTTTCAAATTACTGCTCATAGACAAAAATTTATGTGCCTACTGTCTTAGTCTGGGTTATTGCCAGTAGTTGCACACCATGATCAAAAACAACTTGGGGAGAGAAGGGTTTATTTCTGCTTACATCTCTCAGGTCTCATGCCGTCAAAGGGAGTCACTGAATGAAGTCAGGACGGGAACTCAAGGCAGGAACCGCAGAGCAGGAACTGGAGCAGACGCTGTGGAGGAATGCCTGCAGTCTGAATTGATGGAGACATTTTCCCAATCACGGTTCCTTACTCTCAGATGATTCTAGTTTGTGGCCATTTGACAAAAAGCTAGCAAGCGTACCCACCAGGAGTACATAAAACAGAATCTGAGTCCTTTGGCAAAACAAACCAAAGTTTTTTTTCTCTAGTCCAGTGGTTCTCAACCTTCCTAATGCTGTGACCATTTAATCCAGTTCCTCATGTCATAGTGACGCCCCAACCATAAAGTTATTTCTGTAATTTTGCTGTTATGATTTGTAATGTAAATATCTGATATGCAGGATATCTGATAGGTGACCCCTAAGGGGATTGTGACCCACAAGTTGAGAACTGCGGCTCTAATCTGTTAATGGCCTTGGAGTGAGGCTCCGCATTAGAGTGTTTGCTTAGCATGCCTAAGGCCCTGTATGTAATCCACAATGCAGGAAAACAAAACAAAACAAAAAAACAGATAAACAAACAGGCCCATTGTAGACTGAGTACAATTTGTGCAGAGACACAGCAGCTTTCTTAAGCCCCATTGGCTGAGCTGGACATGATTTCAGTTACAACCCACCAGAAAAAAACTTAGTTACATGATCACACTTTGCTGCAGGGAGAAGCTGGGAAATGTAGTCCACACATGTTCTCTTAGAATGGTGTCTAACTGAAGGCACTCTGGTGGTCGCTGGTGGCTCTGCGTTCCTGTAGAGTTGTCGAATTTTATCCCAGGTAACTGTAGGGCTGCAAAAAAACAAAAACAAAAACAAAAGAAAACAAAACCCACTTGTACATTTAACAAAATTTTTGCCAGTCACTACCACAGTGGTTCTCTAGGGGGTTCCTGAGGACCCACCCTGTGCCAGGCACTAGGCTGTGCGCAACACGGGCCTCTTCATTACCACAGTCCTTCCAGGTAGGTTTCCTGTTCCCCCACAGACACAGAAGGTTTAAGAGTACAGACTTGCCCAAGGCAGAGGCTTCAGATACATTTCTGTGCAATGGAAGGCTCAGCTTTGCTTCCCACACTGCAGCCACGTTGACAGAGCCAGGGCATCATGCCGAGCGGCTGCTATACAAACGCCTCGCTGTACCTAACTTTAAGCAGGTACGTGGAAGGTCCAAACATTTGAATTCTGTCTAACGTGTTATTCCATTTCCCAGGTCCTCTTCCAGCTCCTCGGCCAGTGGCCTTGGCGGCACTCTACCCCTGTGGTCAGCCCGGAACCTCTCCTGCCCATGCAGTACCCAGCAGCCACTGTTGAGGGCCTTAGTGGCCCTCTTTCCGGGGCCTACTCACTCCCCACCTTCAAGTTCCAGCCTCGCCGTGAGAGCATAGACTGGAGACGCATCAGCGCCGTGGACGTGGACCGCGTGGCTCGGGAGCTGGACGTGGCCACCCTGCAGGAGAACATTGCTGGGGTCACCTTCTGTAACTTGGACGGAGAGGTGTGCCACCACTGTAGGCAGCCTGTGGACCCGGTGCTCCTCAAGGTGCTGCGCCTGGCACAGCTCATCATTGAGTACCTGCTGCACTGCCAGGACTGCCTGAGTGCCAGCGTGGCGCAGCTGGAAACACGGCTGCAGGCCAGCCTGGGCCAGCAGCAGCGTGGCCAGCAGGAGCTGGGTCGCCAGGCCGATGAGCTCAAGGGCGTTCGGGAGGAGAGCCGGCGTCGGCGGAAGATGATCAGCACCCTGCAGCAGCTGCTCCTGCAGACGGGCGCCCACAGCTACCACACGGTGAGGATTCTTTGCTGAGGGGGGCCTGGGTTCTCACCGCTTGCGAGCAGGTGTTAAGGGAGGACATTCTGAGAGTCTGAGGATTCTTGTTGGCTCTGCGAGTGTGGAATGGGTGTGTGCGAGGGTGAATGTATAGGGCATGTGCACAAGCGCTCCTTTGCATGGAGGGGCTGCGTGTGTAGCGTGTGAAGGTGGGGCTCTATGGGGTTTGTATCTGTGCATGTGGGTGTGGTAAACGTGTAAACGCAGATGCTGGAAGCGTTTTCTGGTATCTGTGCCTGTAGAGTATGTGCTGTATAATGTGTGCCAGCCCTGGCTTACCCCAGTGGGCACAGCTGAACGTCTGTACATACGGAGACTGTGTGTAATGATGTACACGTGAATGGATGAAGGATATGGAGTGTGTGTGTCTAAGGATGTGAGCATGTATGGAAGGTATACGTGTTTGTACGTGTATGAGGATGGAGAGTCCGCATGTATGCGCGCTGTGCTGCGTAAGGGCATAGATGTGCATGGATGTATGTGTGTGCGAAGGCACGATGCAGCGAGGCTCATCTTAGAAAAAGGATTTCATAATTCAGACGGGAGACCACGGCAGCACTGGAGCATTTGAGCCCACTGCAGCAGAAAAGTAGCCGGCTGCGGACCGCGCTCTGGAATGCAGCTTCAGTTCACGCTAGTTTAGGTTTGCAGGAGAGTCGTAGTTTGTTGCAAGGCCGTTAGTGTGGGGCAGGACGGTAAGGTGACTTGAAGAATATCCCCCGCTCCCCCCAGCGTACATTCCTCTGGCAGCTAGAGGTTTATTTCTGTCATGTCAAGTCTCCGGTGGGCAGGCTCTGTCAGTGCAGGCGCTGCACAGTGATTGTGCTGCAGCTGATGGGAAAGCTCATGTAGAAGCTGGGCGTAAGCCACCCGGGGCTGGTACGGAATGCTTATTATGTGTGTCCGGGTCTAAGATGGCTGCCTGGTTCCATCCTTTGAGCCCCTCATCCTATTCAGTAGGAACTGGTAGTAAAGCTTTTTAAACCTTATTTTGTGTTTTGTAGCGCTGAGGAGCAAGCCCAGGGCTTTGTGCATGTTAAACAAGTTGTTCTAACACTGAGCTACATCTTCTGACAGCACTTTGTTGTTGTTGTTAAGACAGGGTCTCATGATGTAGCCCAGGCTGGCCTGGAACTTGTTATGTAGACCAGACTGCCCTTAAACTCGCAGAGATCTGCCTGTCTCTGCCTCCTGAGTACTCCAGTACTTTAGGTATATGCCACCAGGACTTTTAAACAAATTCATCTCCTAGAAATGTCATGTACCATTTCTGCTTATAGATAGTGACTAGAATCTAGTGACATGGTTACATTGGCTTGTAAGAGGGGCTGTGATATAGGGTGGTTATTCTCACTGGCCTCAGATTCTACTAAGCACTAGGATTCCTATTTTTTTCCCCTTCCCACTCCCACTGTTCTTTATTTCTGTGGTTTGGGAGTTGAACCTAGGGCCTCACACACTCTCAACTCTTCAAAGTCTTTATTTCTGAAGCAGCCCATGGGCCCCGTGGAGGCAGAGTTTCGATACAGGAAATTTCCATGCTGTCTGAGGAAATCTAATCCAGCCCTTCTCACTGCTTCCCCTCTGTGTAGTGCCATTTGTGTGACAAGACGTTCATGAATGCCACCTTTCTCCGGGGCCACATCCAGCGCAGGCACGCAGGCATGGCGGAAGTCGGTGAGTCCGGGCAGCATCTGGGAACTGCTGGGCTAGGATTTGGTGAGTGGGGCACATGCACATGAACCCGCTCTTAAGGTCTCTCAGACATCCCAGCTGGAGCCCTGTGCAGTCTTGTCTGTGTGCGGAACAAGAGGGATGAGACAGGAAGGTTTAGTTGTACTCGTTCCTTCCCGTGATATGACAGTAGTCAGCACTTTGCCTCTGACGTTTTGTAGCCTTCCCTGTGCGTGGAACAGGCAGAGGCTCTGACGTACCTTTAGCCTCCCTGCCTTATCTGCAGCTCTCCACGGCTGGCTGTGAGCATAAATGGGGCAAAGGAGTAGTCAGACCAGTTCTTGGGCTGTGCTGTACTATAGCTTATCATGACTTAATCACTTTATTTAATTTTACCATTCTAAATTCCAAAATGAGTAGTAAGGCTTTGCCCTATCCTTATAAAGTTATATGTACTTTTTGAGTTTGACAGAAATATCTGTACAATAAGATAGCCACATAATAGAAATGCAAACATTTTATTAAGGAAAACATGATTTTCCATCATTGCAGTTTCTTAAAAAATAAGATTTTTGGAGTTGAGAATGTAGCTCAGTAGTATAGGACTTGCTTGTATGCAATAAAATTCTGGATTCAGTCCTTAGACAGACAGGCAGACAAACACACAGACAGACAGACGCACGCACGCACACACACGCACGCCCGCATGCACATAGAGCTTGGAGTTGTATCATTTAGGTATGTACTGATTATGTATCTCTTTATAGTTCTATGTTGGGGATTATTAAGGAAAAAACAGTCTATGTCTTAAATGCTGGTTTCTTATTTTCTTGTTAAAATATGTCCTTGATATGGAAACTTAATGGAACCTGTCATGCCAGGCACTGTGCTAAGTGCTTGGTGTTGTCATGTTTCATTCTCACACCACATCTTCCCTAGCTCAGTGCTAGTCTGTTCCTGTTTTGTTTGTTTTTTCCAGTTTGGGGAACCAGAGGGAGAGGGAGGTGGGAGATACGCTCTTCGTCCCCAGCCAGTGAGCTCTGTGGGGAAGCTTCTCAGACTGAGGTATGGTTGCAGAGGGAGCATTGCCCCACTGTTGCCTTTCCATCTATCCTTGTGTGGACCCCAGGAAAGCAGAAGCAGGAGCAGCCACTGAAGGAGGCGCTGGAAGAGCTTCAGGCCAAGCTCAGGTGGACCCAAGGAGAGCTGGAAGCCCAGAGGGAGGCGGAGCGGCAGCGGCAGGTCCAGGTAAGTGTGCAGGAGAATGGCTGGGGAGATGCGGGGTGTTGTGCCCAGCCGTGCGCAAGACTCCCACAGGGCCCAGATTCTCACTGCTTTCTCCAAGCCGGAAGTCAGAGAGAGGCCACCTTTTCCGACGTGGAACATGATTATTCTTTGTCTAGAAAGGACGGTTAATTTATTTTGCCAGACTTGTGTGGCCGGAAGTGCAGCAGACAGTCATGGTCTCGTGCATAGCGATGCCGAAGGTGTCTGAACTTGAACGTCATGTTTTGTGCCACACTGTCGGTTGGCTCTCTGAGGACAAAGACGGGGTCTGCTTTTGAAAGCTCCAGAATTCTAGGCTGGAGGGAGTGTGCTATAAATAATGACAGACTAAAAACACTAGCCTTCCCCATGCCTCCATGTGTTCACTCATCATTTACTGGGTTAGCAGGCATTTACTGAGCACCAGCCAAGCGTTGCGAGGAATGTAAAGAAAGAGAAAGGGGAGTCTTAACCTCAAGGGGTCTATAGTTTAGATAAGTCATGTCTAGCAGTGGACCACTCCAGGTCTAAACCACAGGGCCAGAGGGTGGGGTGTTCTTTGGATCCTCAGAGTGTTAAATGTGTTAAGGGCCTGGCAGGGCCTCAGCAAATGTTTGCTACAAACGGCAGTAATGAATATGTTGCCTTTTATTTTGTATTTTTTTTTTTTTTTTTTGGTAGGAATTAGAGATGACTCGTCAGAGGGAAATAGAAGCCAAAAAAAAGTTTGATGAATGGAAAGAAAAAGAACGGAGCAAGCTTTATGGGGAAATAGACAAACTGAAACAGTTATTTTGGGATGAGTTTAAAACCGTTGCCAACCAGAACTCTACATTGGAAGAGGTACCCAACACCAAAAGCTTTTCGAAATCATTTTGTGGAAAACCTGCTTATTTGTTCTTAAAAATTAATTTTGTGTGTGTGCGTGCATGTGCAAATGAGCTTGCCCGGGTACACGTATGTAGGGACCAGCGGTGGACATAAGATGTCTTCTACCACTCTTTCTGTATCTTAGTTGTGTGTTAGACTTATTTTTATTTGAGAAAGGGAGTGGAGGTTAATCTCTGAGGACAGCCTGGTCTGCATACTGAGTTCTGGGACAGCCAGAGCTAGGTAGAGAGACCCTGTATCAAAAAAAAACAAACAAATAAATAAATAACAACCTAAGGTGGGAGGTCTGGAAAGATGGCTCAGCCGGTAAGAGAACTTGCTGCTATTACAGAGGACCCAAATTCAGTTCCCAACATCCACAGGAAGCAGCTTACAATAGCCTCTAACTCCAGTTCCAGGGACACTGATGCCCTCTTGACTTCCACAGGCACCCACACAAAGGTATGAATACACACACACTCTCTCTCTCTCTCTCTCTCTTCCTCTGTGTATGATTTATCTGTAATCATTCAAGCCCTCCCAGCCCAGTCTGCTCTGCTGGATTAGGGAAGTTCTGTGGAAGCAAGCTGCTCCTCCATGGTGTGGTCCTCTGTGCTCATCACAACTTCATACCCATTGTTTCTGGTTTTTCTTTTCTTTTCTTTTCTTTTCTTTTCTTTTCTTTTCTTTTCTTTTCTTTTCTTTTCTTTTCTTTTCTTTTCTTTTTTCTTTTCATTTCTTTTCTCTTTTCATTTCTTTTCTTTTTTCTTTTCTGTTTTTCTTTCCTTCCTGCCTGCCTCTTTTTCTTTCTTTCTTTCTTTCTTTCTTTCTTTCTTTCTTTCTTTCTTTCTTTCTCTCTCCTTCCTTCCTTCCTTCCTTCCTTCCTTCCTTCCTTCCTTCCTTCCTTCCTTTCTCTTTCTTTCCTTCTTCCTTCCTTTCTCTTCCTTCCTTCCTTCTTTCCTTCCTTCCTTCCTTCCTTCCTTCCTTCCTTCTCTCTCTCTCTTTCTCGCTTTCTTTTTCTTCGAGACAGGGTTTCTCTGTGTAGCCTTAGCTGTCCTGGACTCGCTTAGACCAAGCTGGCCTTGAACTCACAGAGGTCCACCTGCCTCTGCCTTCCAGAGTGCTGGGATTACAGGCATGCTCCCCCTGGCCCAGCTATTCTTCCTGATTTTAAATGTCCCAACATGTTGCTTGCTGAGTAGGTACTGGTAATAACTGTTGATTCGAATCAGAAGTCATTGCTTAGGAACCACCTCATCAAGGATGAAAACATTACTTTTGGTTAGAAAATCTGAGTTTCAGAAAACAAGGGCACGACCCTTCCTTCACCAGCCATGGCTCCTGTCCCGACTCAGGAATAGTCTGTGATTGTTTTTATTCATTGTTTGTCTGTTGTGTTTTTATGTCTCCTAAGTCCTTTCAATGTTTTATTAAAGTATGGGGACCAAGTTAGATACAAGATTCTCTGTACCATTCAGTAACTGTTTTGTCAACTTGTTCTTTTTTAAATTCTCGAGGGTCGGGGGAAGGTAAGGGTCTATTCAGAATGACTGGAAAGTACTGTGAGACAGTCTTCAAAACTAGAGACAACATCCGGATATGAGGAGGGCCACTGAGACCTACGTACACTTTGAAAGCATCTCTCCTTCGGGCTGGCCTGGTTCAGAGGTCTGAGCACTTGCTTTGGCCCTGCTGCCTGACTGCAGAGTGCATGTTAGGATACATGGATTAGATGAAGCCGCTAGCGGGTTTGCCGGGAAAAACAGGCCACGGAGGCCTGGAGCACAAAGAGGCAGCTATGTGATGTGTTACAGCAGTGACAGAGGTGACTCTTCGGAAGTCCCCGGTTGTTCAGGCCTCTGCTAAAGCATTTGCCAGCAAAAGTACTCTAGCTGGGACATGATTAACATTTGGTCCCGCTATTGCTCAAGCAGTGGATGAGAAAACTTATCAAGAAGAGCACCAATTTAAAGTCAGCCTCGAAGATCCCGAAAGCTGTAACAAGGTTTATCTGTTATGTGCAGGAAGAGACATGGGCTTTGTTAGCATCACATGGGTAGGTAGAGAGGGAGTCAGTCTTTGATACATTTCTGCCTTCTTCTCTGCACACAGTAGTTCAAGAATCACTAGGTATAAGTGATACAGCTTTGAACACTGCAAAAACAGCTGTTCTGGTGACAGCCAGTTTGTGTGTGTGTGTGTGTGTATGTGTGTGTGTGTGTGTGTGTGTGTAAGAGGCAAGAATCCTCAGGGCATGGCTTAGGGAGCCAGAGTTTATCACATGGGCCCTACATGTGCCTCTCTTCAGTTTATTCCAGACCTGGGAAGAAACTGGCCAGGAGCTGGGCAAGCTCGGGTTTGGGATAGCAGAATTTCGGTGGAAGTGAAGTAACACTCGAGTCTGTTTTTCTTCCAGGGGTGCTTGTGTTTACTGCAAGCACCCCTGGAAGAAAAACAGGGGCTGAACCTCTGGAGAGCCCAAGGGAGGGGACTGCTGGTTTGTGTGGGTGTTTGCAAGCACATAGTGGTAGTGAGGGCAAACCGGGGAGGCTCTTGATTGGGGTGAGTTTCACTCTTCTGCTTCTGTATTTGGGGTAAGGTCGAAAGCCAGTGTCATGCGCCGGACATCATCCAATGAAACGGTTCTTGGCTCTTCCAGAAGCTGAAGGCACTGCAGTCCTGCAGTATGACGGAGTCCCACCTTGGGACTCTGCGGGATGAGGAGTCAGAGGAGCGACTCAAGCACGCCCAGGAGCTCCAGGCCCTGCGAGAGAAGATGGAAGTTCAGGTGAGCTGATGCTCGCTCCTTGCCTGTCTCTCCAGATCAAGCCAAGAATCCAGCCGTCCCCACTGAGGATTCCGTTTTGCCTTGTGGATTCGGTGAAGTTGAGAGACATCAGAGCTCTGTATTTTCATGTCTTGTTCAATATGAAGGCACAGAGTAAGGTTCTCAGGCAAGGCTGGTGATGTGTTTAATCCTAATATTCACCTGCTATGTACAAATAGAGGCAAACACCGGTGGGTCCTTTCATATCTTAATCCCAACTGTTATTCTAACACAGTTGAAAACAATTCAGAAAGTGTGACAGTGTCCTGGGAATTTGAAGGTATTTGTGACATATGTGTGGTGTGGTAGTAAATGCTTAGCTCTCAGCTCGGAGCTAAAAGAAAAACAAAATAAAAAACACCTGCCAGTTTCTGTGGTGTGAAGGCTCTCAGGCCATCACTATGAGGTCACTGAGTATAGCTGGGGAGATTTGTACCCAGTCTACTGTGGCTACCACTGGGAGAACCTTACTCAAGTCCAGGCAGAGGAGGTGATCATTTAGCAGGGCCACAGCAGGGACCGTCAGCCATGAGCTTCTGCGCCTGCTCTTCAAGGTAGCTGAGAAAGAGCGGGAAATCTGTCTGCAGAAAGGTGCTGATGCTGGCTGCATGGTGTCTCAGTTTGCTTTTTATTGCTGTTTAAACACCATGGCCAAGAGCATCCTGGGGAAGAAAGTGTATTTGGCTTACACTTTTATGTTAGAGTTCATCTTCAACGGAAGCTGAGGCAGGAACCTGGAGGCAGGAACCTGGAGGCAGGAACCGCAGTGGCAGCCATGGAAGAACACTGCCTACTAGCTTGCTTTCCTCAAGGCTTGCTCTAGGCCAGCCGAGGGATGACACTGCCCACAGATGCCCTTCCCCATCAATCAGCAATTAAGAAAATGCCCCCCAGGCTTGCCTACAGTAGGCCAGTCTGGTAGGAACATTTTCTTATTGAGGTTCCCTCTTCTCAAATGACTCCAGCTTGTGTTAAGTAGAGAAACAGACAAAACCAAGACCAAAAACAAAAATCAAAACAAAACAAAAAAACCCTCCAAAAATGTAATCAACACAGATGGTTCATAGATTTTACATCATAAAAACATCATTGTCTTGGGGAGACGGCTTGGTCAGTAACGTGCTTGCAAAGAAATTAATCTAAAGATCCCCAGTGCCCACATAAAAGCCAAGAGCAGCATACAGCTAGAGCCTCAGAGCCAGGGGGACAGAGACAGGCAGGTTCCCAGGACTCACTGCTCAGTCAGTCTAGCTAATTGGTTTATCGAGAGACCCTGTCCAGAAATGAAATGGAGAGTGGCTTCCACACACATGCAAGCATGTACACACACACACATACAGCCTTTCTTTTTTCCATAAACTTGCACGCTGTTCATATTCTGTACTCTTTCTTTTTTCTTTTTGGCCCTCCCTCCCCCTTTATTCACTTTTTGAGACAGGGTCTCATGTAGCCTAGGCTGGCTTCTACTTGCTGTGTGTCTGAGAAGGATCTTAACCGTGAACTCCTGACCTTCCTGCTTCTAGCTTTTGATTGCTGGAGTTACAGCTGTGAGCCACTTGGCTTTTTGCTTTTACTTCTATTATTGATGTTTTCTTTACCCAGCTTTAATTTGTATAACATGTGGAAATTAATCTAGCCTTTTGTTATTCTAGTTGTTTGTGGCTATTTTTTTCCAGTCTTCTACTTTATTGTTGTCTGGCCATACAAAAAGTAAAGCTTCTGTGGTAAAAGTTGTTTAACAGTCAGCCTTTTAAAAGAGTCAGTTTTTATTTATGTGTATGTTTGTGTCTCTGTGTTATGTGAACATGTGTGAGGGTTTCTGCAGAAGCTAGACCTGGAATTAAGGCAGTTTTGAACCACCTGATATAGGTGCTGGGAATTGAACTCAGGTCCTCTCCAAGACTAACAAGCTCTCTTGACTGCCGGACATCTCTCAAGCTGTTCTTTATTGTTGTACCCACTCTGAGATTTAAAGAGAAAACATTCCTTTGTTTTCTTTGAGTGATTCTATGGCCATCTTCATCATGATCATACTGTCTTGTTTTTATGTGTAATTATCTGACCTGTCTATAGTTGGTTTTGGTTTAAAACAGGCATCCAAGTTTTTTTTTTTTTGTTTGTTTGTTTTGTTTTTTCCTGGTCAGTTAGCCATTTGTTCAAACACCAGTAGTCAATAATCCATACCCTCCTTTTTCACACTAAGTTTCTATTTTCTCCCAAATTGGTTCAGGTTCTCTGTTCTGTTCCACTCGTCTTTCTGTCTAACCAGGAGCTGGTACTTTTTACTCTTCATAGTTTTATAGTTTATATTTATGGCTACCTAGAGGGCTCCATTTGACAAGCTTTTCTTCTTTTTCAGAAAACAGAGTGGAAGAGGAAAATGAAGGCGCTGCACGAAGAGCGGGCAGCTGAGAGGAGAGAGGTAGTTCTTGTTTGGCAGTGAGGGAGTTTGGTTTTGGGCGACCTCTCCCTATCCAGCTTCCCCCCTTCCCCTCCCATTCTCTACCTAGAACCAGTTATCAGGTGTTTTATCGCTGATACTCTTCCTGGCTGCCAGTCCCCTTTAATTTACGAATGGGGTCATCTGCCTATCCTGAGGATTCCGTAGCCAGGAGCAGGGGCCCCTAGCCATGTTCTGAACCCCATGCACCCTTCACTAAGTGGTACCTGCTTCAGGCCCGCTTGCCCTAGAAGCCTCAGGTGAGTTACTGGTCACATCATGTGTGGACTCTTTGGAAACCTCCACCTCCAGGGGGAACCAGGTAGCTCAGATCTCAGCGATAGTTCCGAGGGCGTCAGTGAAGGGCTTGTGTAACTGAGTCCCGAGCACAGAGAGCAGCAGTCCTCAGGACAAAGACTACACTTCTGTGTACATGCCCCCGAGGAAGATGCCAGTTAAGGAGGAAGTTGGTTAGCTTTCTCAGGTTCTGCCGGCCCCTGGCCAAGAAGATGCCATGACCCATGGAGCTTCCCCACTAGCTCTCTTTGCTTTGGGGGGGGGGGTGACCCAGTCCTTGTGGGCTGGTTTTGCCTCATTTATATCCTCTAGAGAGTCTTTACGAAAGTATTAATAAATAGCCCCATTTTACCTCTGCTCTTACATCAGAGTTGGCATGGGAATACATTTTCTTCACTTGTTTTTAATCTGAATAGGAATTTGATGATTTTTGGGTGTTGTTTTTTTTTTTTTTTTTTAACCTGAATGTCCTCAAGTGGTTGAGGATGGGGAACCTTCGTTATTTATTTTTTCAGGGTGTATCCGAATTTATTGATGGTAATGTAGCTGCAGAGTCTTCAGATAAATGTAATGATCCTGCTCCGAGTTCTGAATTCACGGCTGATCCCACATGATAAAGGCTCAGTTCTGAGTCACATACAACAAATCTATCAACCTGGTGTGGTGCCCACAAAATTATCGTGCTTATTAATGAGCTCAAAAAGTCCAGTCAGGTCCATTCACTAGATTCTCACAAATATAGGAAGCTTCTTAAACATGTCTGGAGATTCTTGCTATGTCCCTCAGCGCAGTTCAAAAGTGTTACTGTGAGCTAGGTGCGATGGTGTAAACCTGTGATTCTGGCATTTGGGAGGTGGAGGTCAGTAGATCAAGAGTTCAGAGTCAACCTCAGACACATGAAATCCTGAGGAGGTGGGGCTGCCGCTGCCCCGCCACACAGCCCTTCCTGGCCCTACAAGCCGCCCCTCAGGGGCCTGGTGCTGGCAAGATGGCTGCCGAAGCGGGGCGGTGACGGGTGTGTGTGTGTGTGTGTGTGTGTGTGTGTGTGTGTGTGTCCACGACCACCGACGGGGAACCTTCCTGATGATCCTAGAGGCCTGCATTCCATTTTCTCTTTTCATTTCTTCCCTGGCACAGCTCAAAAATGTACCCAAACTGAAAGGCAGGTAGAATTGTCAGGAAGCCACCTGCACCGGTTAAAATTCTGGTCTTGCCTCAGGTGAGGCCCGCCAGGAGCATTTGGCTGTAGGGACTGCCCTGCTCTCTTGGGGTTCTTGGGTCCCTGAGGGACATCTCACTGACCAACCTTCCTGTGCCCACCAGCTTCAGGAGGAGAATGAGCGGCTCCATGCCACCCTGTCGCAGGATCAGAAGAAGGCAGCTGCACAGTCTCGGCGTCTCATCGACGCCCTCCGTGCCCAGCTTCAAGAACAAGCCAGGCTTATCGAGTCCCAGGAGGAGACGGTAGGTCTGTCCTTTCCCTCGTCAGGGCCCAAGGCTTCCAGACCAGTTTTCTGTGAGGATGGCCTTGGATCCTGGGTTCATGCCGATGGTGTCATAAGGCTCCTGAAGGGGAGAGAAGAGGGTTATGAAGTTAAAAGGCTTCATCCACCTCCCTCTCGGCTGGAGCAGTATGTACTCCGAGGGGGAGATATAGCGCATTCTACCACCAGAGACCACACGAGATGCCGGGTTCCAGGCTGGCACGTTACACATTACCTCATTTAAACCCCAAACTGCCCTTCAAGACAGGCACCACTTTCTCCCCACCTATGTTTAATGCAGTGCTTCCCTCCCTTCCTAATGCTCGACCCTTTAATATAGTTCCTCGTGCTGTGGTGACCCCCCCCCCCAACCATAAAATTCTCATTGCTACTTAGTAACTGTAACTTTGCTACTGTTCTGGATCGTAATGTACCTGGCTATATGTAGGATATGGGCTATGTGACCCACATACCGGTTGCGACCCACAGGTTGAGAACTGTTGAATTAAGGCACGATGAAGCAGGCTTGTTCAAATCTGCACAGGGTTTTCTATAAGGGACGGTGACATTGGATTCTTGCTAGTGGAACACGGAGCTGTGTTCCTTATAGTGTATTCAGATGTAATAATTAACCACCCCAGGAATGGCTTCTGATGACGTTTTCTAATAAGCCAGTGAGAAAGAAGTTGCTGGCTCTCTGAGTGCCTGGTAAAGCTCAGTGCTGTGGCTCCTCATCTGTTCTTCTTAATTCTCCCCGACTCCCTGCTTATACTCAGCTTCCCTTTGGAAGCCCAGGGATGTAGGCATAAGGTTATTGTGTGATTCAAATGCTAATTTCTGCAATCCCCCTTGTTCTGAGAATCTCCTGTCTCAATGCTGTGGAAGAGGAAGGAAAGGGCTCTTGTTGGGAAAAGTGTGCTGAGTAGATTAGCCAGTGCTGGGTCAGGCCTCCAGGCAAGGATGTTGTCTGACCTCCGTGCTCCCATGAGCCCTTAGCTCAGGTGTCTTTCACCACTGGCTAGACTTTCTGTCCCTTCCTGCCTATCTTACAATTTTATCTCCATACCAATTATACCCCTGTCCCACTCTGCTTCCATGGGCTTCTGCCCTGAAGAAATAGTCCCCAGAAGACAGTTGTTCTGGTCTCCCATCCCCGAGAAGGCTGAGCAGGCTGTCATCCAGACTGCTAGCTGCTATTCTTTCTCGGTTTAGTGTCTTTCCTTATGTGCACTGTGGGAGATGAGGTGTGCATGGGGCCAGGTAGCAAGCCCTTAGTGGGTGGATGACAATGATGACTGCCCTTTCTTTCCTGGTCTGGGCAGGTGTGCTCAGAGCAGAGTCCCTACAATGTCCTCTGCTGCCGGTAACCCGCTCTGTCTTATCCTTCTGCAGATCCAGACCTTGTCCCTCAGGAAGGTGGAGGGTAAGTCTGTAGTGGATGGTTAGTATCAGTCTTGGGGGTTGTTCTGGGTTCCTTCCCTTCCATCACCCAGGTGATTTATGGGTAGAAGACTGGTGACAGCTGTCCATGAGACATGCAGTGTGGTGTCAGCTGTTGAACTGGGCAAAGAAGAGGGCTTATGGGAGAGAGGGTATTTCTGCTTCAGGTTTTCTGCCAGCAGATTTCACGCTGGTTGGGTTTTTCTTTAGTGGGAGGTAAGGGGTCTTGGGCATGGCATTGATGGAGCTGGGCCCGTAAGCAGTCTTTCTGACTCACTGCGTTTGTGACATGCCATTAATAACAACTGTGTGCCATGCCAGGTTCTTCAGGTTCATCATTTCATTACGTTGTGATTTAATGGGGGGTGGATATTATTATTCTGCTTTCTACATAAGAAAACTGACACCGACTCAGGTTCAGGGGCTTGTCAGCTCATGCACAGCTATTGGGGACAGAGCTGGGATGTGACCCTGACCTTCCTGCCTCCAATGCCTGTGTTTGTGATCTTTTTTCATCCTGCCCCTCTGGTAAAGATGAGTCTGTGGAGGGCTGTTCCTTACCATCCTGCAGTCACCTGGGGTCCTCAACCACACCTTTCTTTGTCAGGGGTGGGCTGCAGGGTTCTGGTGCCACTAATTGTCCTTGTCTTCTCAGAAGTTCAAGAGGTGCCAAAGGCTGTGGACACAGAGGAGGACTCTTCTGAGGAAGGTGGGTCTGTCTGTCTGTCTCTCTCTTTAACTCTTTCAGTGCAGAAAGCAGATTGGCAGCTCTGCTCATTTTTTTAGTTTCTCTTTAACTATAACCTAGACCTCTGAAGCTGTGGTGGAAGGAATGAAGGACACAAGTTAAATATTTCTCAAGTTCCTTGTATATACCAGGTATCCTGGTTAAAGGTACTCACGTTTCATCTTCATGGTCACCAAGTCACAAGGCTGCAGGGCTTCGGACTCAGGTCCTGTCCCTTGTGCCCAACCTAGTACAGTGGAGGAGAACTCGTTGCACTGGATTTCAAATGGTCTCCGCTGCCATGTTCTCCATGTGATTGAGCTGTAGGTAGATCATGGAAGACCTGAAATAACAAGAGTGTCAACATGGCCTGAACCAAATTCTCCACATTCTAGACAGAAAGAGGTCAAGAGGACTGAGTGAGTCCCCACAGCTATGGTGGACCTGTCGCTTGCTACGCTGCGCTGTGTCTCTTCATGTCCCAGGCCAGCAGGTAGCAGCATGGCTTGGAAACCCATTAGAAACGCGATTTTGCAAATTCTCTGACCACATCTCAGACAAATGCAAGTAGAATTTTGGGGGCCGGAACCCAGCCGCTTCTTTTCATGCACTTTTCTGTGCATTTTGATTCTTGTCCAAACCGGCTGTGAAACTTTCTGTGCTTTAAGACCCACCTAGGGAGCTTGCAGCTGTGTGGCGGACCATGCTAGTGGCATTTAACCCTTCTCAGGCAGTTTCAGTGTGGTAGCCCTGGTTGAGGTGCGGGCCTCAGCGTATATTTATTTAGAGTTACCCGAGGAGGGTGTCTTGGTCAGTGTGTCCGAACACAGATTACAGGGCCTCACCTGCAGAATTGCTGACACGGTAGGTTTGGAGAGGAAACTCAGAGTTGCCAAACCTTACGGATTATGGGGTGATGAGGTTTGGAAGCACAGCTGAGGGGGTTTGAAATAAAAGCTAAGCTCTCTGACTCCTTCTCGCTAATTTTGACATAATTAGCTTGGGTGGCTTTAGCGTGTAGCCGGCTTTGGGGTCACCGTGATGGCCCATAAGTTCCTTGGAGGAGACGGGATGAGTTTCTCTATGTCATCCGCATCCAGCGCCGTTCTGCCCACACTTACTGTGGAGCGCTGTCCTCTAGGCACAACATGGCCTCCTGCACGCTCCGCGGCTGCAGTTATCCACATGAGACCTCCACAGAGAGCCTGAGAGTTAACTCTGAGAGACCCTGCCCCTCGCTGGAGATCTCTAAGTGGTTAGCAGTAGCTGGGAGGAGGGAATCTGTCTTCGGTGGTGTAGCTGCTGTCCGTTGCCCATCCTCCTGTAGGTTTTGCCTTAATTAAACCATTAGCTCAATGGTTCTCCATCTGTGGGTCTTGACCCCTGGGGGTGGGGCTGAATGACCCTTCCACAGGGCCACATATCAGATAGCCTGCCTATCAGATACTTACATTGCAGTTTATAACAGTAGTAAAATCACAGTTACAAAGTAGCAATGGAATAATTTTGTGGTTGGGGCTCACCACAACACGAGGAAATAACTGTATTAAAGCATGACAGTATTAGGAAGCTTGGGAAGCACTGCCCTACAGGTCATGAGGAATGCGCCTGGGACAGCTTCTTTTGCCTTGGACCGGCCCTCTGTAGCAGTTAGCACATTTTATTATAACTACTTGTTTTCCTATTCCTTAGAGTGCAGTATAGGACTCACCTCTGTCAGAATCATCAGTGCACAGGAAAAAAATAGATTCCAGGACCCCTCCGAGACATGTGGGTGGGATTGACTTGGGAGGGTTCAGGTCCTTGCATTTGTAGCTCAAGTAATTCCAATATACTACGCAGTAGGAGGGAAGACTGACTTAGGAAACTTGAAGGGTTGATCATGGCTGCCCTTTAATCCGGCTTAGAATGGAACCAGATTGAGTGGTAGGAGAGTTCAGTGGCAGAAGAGGTGGAGGTCGGGCTGAGGTAATCAGAGACCAGAGTGGCGTCCAGGGGACAAGTTAATTCCAGTTGACCTGTCTCGAGACTGACTGAACCCCGTCCTGGGAGGTCCAGACTGGCAGGAGATGGGAATGTAGAAGGTGGGTGGTGACTCTGAGATGGTGACACCCACGTCTCATCTTCTGGCTCAGGGGTGGACATGAAGGAGTGGTCTGCTCTGAACTCATTCTGGGGCCTGGGGGTCACTGGCGGGGACAGCAGGGCTCTCGGGATGGTGGTCTCAGGAGGGAGTACTGACCTTGCTTACTGTCTCCTGCTGCAGAGCTGGAGGGCTCCCGTGATGAGCAGCGGAAGGTGCTAGCAGCTCTGAGGAACAACCCTACTTGGCTGAAGCAGTTCCGGCCCATCCTGGAGGACACCCTGGAAGAGAAGCTGGAAGGCATGGGGATAAGGAGGGTCAGTTCCTGGGCCACTGTTGAGTTAGCCATTTAATCATGTGCTTAAAGATGGGGGTCTTGGTATGCATCTCAGGCTGGCCTTGAACTCACTAAAGCCTTCCTGCCTCAGCTTTCAGGGTGCTGGAATCAATGACACTACAGTAGTAGGTACTGTTTTAAGGGCTGAGACTTACAATGAAGACAGGAAGTGTTCTCCCCTAGAGAGGTGATGTATTGTTCTTGCAGAGTCAGTTGTTCCTGTGCTCGTTGATGTCAGGGGACAGCTTTTGTCACCTCTTAGCAGTGGAGACTTCTCGCCTCTCTCCTCCAAGTCCTCATCCCTACCATGTTCTCTGCTAATTGGTTACTTTTCCCCTTGTCTCTAGCCACATCTCTGATAGAGGGCATGCGGTTGGCCCAGTCTGGTTTATGGCAGTCCCGTTTGCATAAGTGTCTATTTCTGAGTCCACTGTTTATGTATGGATCACGTGGCTATTCCCATACATGCGTGGGTAGAGCCTGGCTGTTGCTGTTATGGGCATCAGAGACGTCTGTTAGTAAATAGAGGCCCACCATGTTATCAGAGTTGCCACCCTTCGCAGCGTTGAACATACAATTTGCATCTCAGTGAGGAAGATTAGAAAAGCAAGCAAAACAAACCCAGACAGCTAGGTTTAGTTTTGTAAAGATGCTGTCTGAGACTGGCCTGCTTAATCCACTCTCTGCCCTGTTCAGTCTTGATTAAAAATGTCTGATTTTGCTAAATCTTCACCCGGGGTTTGGATGTCTCCAAGCTCTCTCTTGGACTCTGGATGGGTGGCAAAAACCCACCAAACCTCTAGTAGTGCACACTGGTCTTAGCATTCCGGTTTTCCAAAACGCCGTTAAGCAGGTAGAACACGGCTGTGCCAGGAGGTGCAAAATGAAGCAGGCCATGCTCTCACCCTGGGATTCAATTGAATGCTGGGAAAGAATGCCCCATCTGTGTGATGTGGCTTGAATTGGGATTCGGCCCTTTGCCTAAGCCTGTGTTGTGCATTGTGATAGAGCTTCCAAACCCGGGACTCACTCTCACACTTTTTGTAGTGGCTGAGGCTCACCTTTTCTGTTCCCACCTCACCCCTCCAACATGCCGGTGCCTCTGTATCAGCAGCTCTAGGGAGAGGAGGTGGGAGCCTGTGTAGGCAAGGGTGAACTCTTGTCTCCTCCAGGACACGAAAGGAATTTCAGCTCAGACTCTCCGACACCTGGAGTCCCTGCTGCAAACCCAACGGGAGCAGACAGCCCGAAGCTTCCGGGAATTTCTGAGGCTGAGGGAGAAACTCAATACGGAAGTGAGCAGCCGGGTGAAGAAGAGATGGGAGAGTACAGCTGTGGTGTCCCAGCCAGATGGCCAGCCTCCAGGTGAGCCGACGGCAGGCCTAGCTTTGAGACCACGACCTGACCCTAGGCGAGGACTCCACTCAGGCTGAGGTGGGGGGAGCTCCTTCCGCTGGGATACTTTTCTGATGAACTGAGCTTGTGAATCCTCAAGGGTGAATGAGTCTGAGGTCCTCTATGGGGGAAACAGAGTCAGAGGTGGGGTTGGGTTGAGATTTTGGTGGAGAAGTAAAGAATGCCCAGGTTCCTTCATGTCATTTCCTCTGTCATGGACACACATGACCAGGAGGGTGCCAATCCTGCCTTGGGCACAAAGCTGAGCCTTTTGGGCAAATAAAGTTTGCCAAGTGCAGCCTTTGTCACTCTAGGGACATTAGAGATGGTTTTAGTTGGTACACAGACCAACTGTTTAACATCTTTTTTTTCTTCACATGGATTGGGAAAAAAAAAATTCCTAGCCTAGCAATCATGTGAGGTAATAGAATTATTTCCTGTGTAGATATAAAGCAGGTATTTTATGTTAAAAAGTGTTAACATATCATGTTAAAGAGATAGCAGGAAGGTAGTATAAGAATATGGTAAAAAAAAAATTATGTGATTCTCTGAGAAGCTCCGTCCTCACTCAGCTTTCTGACTTTGAAGTTTCTAAAGAAAGGACATATCTTTCAGACATCACTGACAAACAGGTGGCTTTCTCCAATTGTATCTGACATTAGATTCCTTTGCTCATTTGCCCAAATGTCTGTATGCTTAGCTCAGTATCTGGTTTGCCTCACTTTCTACCAAGACCTGCCCTGTCCCATGAGAAAGCAGCGAGCACTGGGAGGTGTGAGTCAGCCAGACACAGGGATGCTAGACAGTCAGGAGAGGGAGGGTAGGAAGAATGGAAGTGTCCCCGGAGCTGTGGTTTTCAGGAGAAAGGAAGGCTGTCTTTTCTTTCTTCTTTCCCCAGTTGCTGTCCTCAGAAAGCCAGGAGAGGGCCTTACCTTTCCCAGCTGCCCCTTCCCTAGCTTTGGGGTTCAAGTAAGATAAGAGATGTATTTTTACGACACTTTGAAGACCCTTCCTTCCTGCGCCGAGTCCACTTACCCTCACATTTCCCACAAGCCCTGTGTCAGTGCTCTCCTCTATCTACATAAAGTCTAGGAAGTTCTCAACATGTGGGTCGTGACCCCTTTGGTGGGGGAGTTGAACGACCCTTCCGCAGGGGCCGTGTGTCACATATCCTGAATATCAGATATTTACATCATGATTCCTAACAGTAGCAAAATTACAATGAAGTAGCAATGAAATAATTTCATGGTTGGGGGTCACCATATCATGAACTGTATTAAAGGGTTGTAGCATTAGGAAGGTTGAGAACCACTGGCTTAGACCACGCCTCTTGCTTGGGAGATTGTAGTGGAGGCAGCGAAGGATGGGCGACCGGATTTGCACCTGTCTATTCATTCTATGGAGATGAGGGCCAGTTCCTTCAGTCTCTGTAAAGCCTGAAGATCTGTGGGTATCACAAAGATGTGCCAAGAGCTTCGCTTAGTGTCCGGGACACAGTAGCTGTTAAGCCGTTAGTTCCTGTCCACAGACATTTTTGCTCTTGAGCTACAGCAGTAAAAAACACTTCTCTGTGAACTCAGTGCATACATGTAAGTTTCATGGAAAGCACTTACTCTGGCTGCCTGGGATGCGCTTTCTCTCCAAGAATAAGCATCCCTGGGCTCCCTGTCTGCTCATGGGTCGCGATGCCATGTGGAAAACACGGGTGGTATCTTGGCCTGTGAGTCGAAAGGGCCTGGCAGCTGTTGGTAGTCCTGTAGTCCTGCAGCGACCTCTGGTGGCAGCAGAGTCTTCCTGCAGGGCCTCTTGCAATTAAGGCTTTGAGTAGTGCAGGTTGTAAGCAAAGTCGGCCTGGATCCTCAGTCTGGCTGACCTCTCTGGTCTTCTGTAAGGCGTGACCCTGACTCTCCCATTCTCTGAGAAAACTGGAGCCTGGTCCTGGCCGAGGGACTCACGGTGTTGGGCAATTGTCAGTGTCTTGTGACTCGATCCTCTCTGGTGTGAGACTTTCTTCTACAGTATTTCACGGCCACAGGCCCAGCCAGCACTGGCATGTTCTGCAAATCATTCCTTTCTGTGTCTCAGTCAAAAGCCTGAGGATCACACTGGCTGCAAGGGAAGCCCGGCCAAAGACCAGGAGCCTGAATGTGGCACTGCCGTCCAAGCCAGCAGAACCTTCTGCGCCAGCCCTTCAGAGCCAGAGCAGCCCTGGCCCTGGCCTCACCCAGGTGTCCACCCCCATTCCACGTCCCAGAGCACATGGACCTTCCAGTACGCCCATTTCCCCTGGGCCCGGGCTGAGGTGAGTGAGCTCTAGATTTTGGCCTCTTGTAGGGTCTGATTGGTGCCCTCTGGCCTCAGAGCTCTCTGCGTTGCGGGGGAGGGATGGGGACAGACAAGTAGCGTTCAACATGAGCTTCTGAGAAGAGCCTGGGAATCCTTCAGTCCTGGTCAAGGCAGACCCCCCCCCCCCACTTCCCATCTCTCCCTCCAGCCCATAGCTGCAGTGGAAAGTGGGACCTCAGGCCTTCTGAGCTTTACGATTTGCCTGAGAGAGGAGCGGGGGTGGCTCTGGGCTAAGTCTGGCTTTTAAAATGTTTCTTTCGGACCCCTGTTCCCTTCATTTCATCTTGCAGCAGCACCCCCCCTTTCAGTTCTGAGGAGGAGCCAGAGGGAGACATTGTGCAACGCGTGTCTCTTCAGCCCCCGAAAGTTCCTTCCAGGTCGACACCCAAGCCGGAGGACAACTGGGGCTGGTCTGATTCTGAGACCTCAGAGGAGAGTGCCCAGCCCTCTGGCAAGGACTCAGGTGGGCTGGCTTCCTCAGGTGAGTCCTTCTCCAGCCCTAGATTCTCTGTGTCCTGGAACAGGGTTTCTGACTGGCACTTCTTCATTGTCTCAGAAATGCCAGGAGGAAGTTAGACTTGGGTGGGGGTTATTTGGGTGGGGGTTTTGTCACTGAGTTTTCTAAATATTGGGGGTTTCGGGGAGCTCCCTCACCCCTTTTGTCTTCCATGTTCTTGTCAGTAGACAGGGCCATCTAAGGTATAGCTGCCTTTTGGGGCTGTTTGGGAGAATCAGGCAGCCTTTTGGTGTTGGTTTGGCCACAGCAGCATTTTATCTGTGGGAAAGAACCTGTTCTTTGACATTCTCTTTAGAGATAGGCAGGGATGCAACTTGCTGTTGAAAAGGACTTTACAGAGACCTAAGCTAAGGGTGCTGGTAGTTAGAGTGAATTATTCTCTGAACTTATTGTGCTGTACGTAGTACGTCATTTCAGTGAGGCATTGAGCATTTCTCTTCCCAGAGTAACGGCATCTGCTCCCAGTCTTTCGAGGTCCCTTTATAAAGCTACCGACAGAAGCGAGGCCTCTGGCTTAGGTTGTGTTTCTCAGCCCAGGCTGAGCAGGAGAATGTGGAACTTATAGGTTTGATTTTGCAAAGGAGAGGCAGAAGGAGAGAGCTCAGGGGTTTGCAGTCTTGTGAGCGCTTGTCTTAACAGACTCTGCGATGCTTCTTCATGCCTGCAGCCCAGTCCAAGCCTGCCAACCCGTCAGGACTAGCTGGAGGCTTGATGCCGCCACAGGTGGGATGATGGGCAGGCGAGATGATGGGGCTGGGAGTTAAAAGTCTTCTGATACAGTTCTGACCCTGTTACTCCCTGCCTGTCCTTGTGTAACTGGTTTCTTTGTTGCAAGATGACCTATTTTAACAAGACAATTAATAAGAGGTCAAAGAACACAGTGTTTGGCACATATTAGGAATGTAATAAACATTTCTGTCTTTTAAAGACTCATTTTAATTTTAATTATGTGTTAAGTGGGTATGTGTGCAAGTGAGTGCAGATAACCCGTGGAGGCCACAAGAGGGGGTTGGAGCCCTTGAAGCTGGAGTTACAGGTGCGTGTGAGCCGACTGATGGTAACCAAACTCAGGTCCTCTGCAGATGAGACACTGTTAACCACTGAGCCCAGATCCATAATCCAACGGCTATTATAGCTCTAAAAATCTGCAGACACTCTGAGCATTTGAATCCAAAGAGCTGTGTGACATTCATGCTTTGCTTCTGCTTGTCTTGGTTTACCATGAATTGGGGTCCATTGATGATCTGAGTTACTGGCTAACTCCTGTTTCCTGCATGGAATTAACAGGAAATTGTTCCTGTGATAATAATATTTGATCTCTGTTTGTCTGTGGGTAGAGGTGTTGAAGGAAGACACATTACTGTGACTAAAATACCCAAGAAAAACTTGAAAAGAGGAATTCTTTATTTTGGTGCATGGTTTCTCAGATGCCAGCCCATCCATCTTTGTAGGGGATCTCTGGAGCCTAACACATCCTGCCAGACAGGAACTAGATAAAGGAGCACAGGGAAAGGCCAGGACATGCCCACAGTAACCTACTTCTTCCAGTGAGGTCCCCCCTTCTGTCTTTCACCACACCTGCAAAATGTCACCCCGGAATGAATCTATCAAGGCATTCTTGAAACCAGGCTATAGTATTAATCTGGACCTTCTCTGCCTCCTTTTCCCTCTTTGGAGGAGGGGTGGTGCTAATCCTTTCTTCTGGCTCTCTCTCTACTCCATCTGTCCACACTGGAGCCTAGGTATGGTCCAAAGGGACAAAGCAGTCATTCTCCAGGCTTGTTCCACTGACATGGCTACTTGTCCCCTTTCCAGGAACACTGGTGCAGTCAATGGTCAAAAACCTCGAGAAGCAGCTTGAAACTCCAGTGAAGAAGCCCTCTGGAGGGGTCAGTGTGTTTTTAAGGCCCAACGCTGCCCTTCAGCCGGCTTCCACACCAGCAAGGAAGTCTCAGGTAGGATGCTTGAAGATGGGCCGCCATTCCATAGAGAGCCAGCTTCAAATCTGAGGGCCCTGGGGGTGAAAAGGTTAGGGAAAGGCTGAGGAGGAATCAGCTTTGACATGTCCTGTCAAGGACATTGCATGTAATGTTTCCTTCATTCCTGTATGTGTAGAAAGATGACCACTGGAAAATTTTTTCTGTGCCCATGTTAGTGTTTAAAAAGCCTTTGGGTTCATGATATAAGCACTTTCTGAGGAGGTGTAGTTCCTAGTCTCCCACCTTCAAGAGCCTCCTGTGGTGGCTGCTGTCTTCTTGTGCTGGGTCTTCCATAGTTGGGCCTCTCCCCAGCCTTTACTTGCCCGAAGACCCCAACAGAGGGCTGGATGTAAGCACTGTCCACCTGGGGTGGGCATCAGAGTGGTGCCACACAGCACAGGGAAATGTACACCTACGTTCCAAGTACTCAAGGTGGGGGGTGCCTAATCCCTACATATCTTGATGGCCTGGCCTCCCTCATGCTGTAGCTGCCATGGGATTTGTAGACTCAGCGCTCATGTGAGCACTTCTCACCTGCTAAGCAGGCCCTGTCATTAAGCTACTTGACCTGTAGTCCCTCACTTTTTTATAGTCAGACCATCCACCTACTTTTTTTTTTTTTTTTTTTAATCACACAATGTGCTTGGCTTATCTTAGAATTTATGTAAAGAGCCCCAAATTCTCCTGTTCTCTATTGAGAAAGAGCACCAACAGTCCAAAACAGACAGAGGTGCTGTCTAGGCCCTAGATGGTATCTTCTTACGTGCCAGGATGAAATCCATGGAGTGTCACATGTCAAAGCCAAGGCCCAGGCATCCAGCAGAAGCGCAGAGAACCATGGATGGAAACTCCTGGCCTGGGCTGTTTCTGTGATCTGGATGTAGCCTGGTCCCCCAGCAGGCTTTAGTTTTCCCATCAGCTGCAGCCCAGATCCATTCCAGGCTGCCCTGTTACTCCCCATCTCCTCTCAAGTTCAGTGTTTACCAGGCTGCTCTGAGCATTAGTCTGTGAGGAAGGGTCCTTTTGGCTAAGAACTCAGAAGTTCAAGAGCTTCAGAAGTTCAAGGCTGTGGGATTCCAGAGCCTTGTGAGGCGCTAAAAACCTGCTTGTAATATTACCCGTATCAACCTTTTTATTACATGCTGTGTTGGTTTCATCACGGTGCCATGTAAAGATTCTTCAGGCTCTCCCTCTTTCTCTGTTGTGAATAAACATGAATAGTCTAACACAGGTAGTTGATACTGTGAGCATGAATGCTGCCGGAGTTTAAATGCCAGCATGAGCAACCTTATCTACACATGAACCTCTCCAAGGTGTTTGCCTTGGGCTCATTAGTAGGATGCCAGAGCTGTTCCCATCACTGTGGCCCTGAGTCTCTGGAGCAGGCTTTCACAGGCAGGGAGCTTGGAAGGCAGGATGAGGAGTCACCTCTCCTGGTTGCTTTCCTCTGAATCAACACTTTCCCCCATTTCTCCCATGGGTGCTGCTGAGCTCTCTGCCACCTTCCTGCATTTATTAAAATCCATTTCGTCTTCTCTTCTATCTCTGCAGCTTTCTGAGGATGAGAGTGACTTAGAGATCTCGTCTTTGGAAGATCTTTCTCAGGACCTGGACAAGAGAGGAAAGCCAAAGCCTTTGCCCTTCTCAAAGCTCCCAGAAAAGGTTGATGCTACTCCTTGGAGTTCTGGATCACGACCCAGGATTCCTGGCTGGTGATTCTGCCTATGTTTGCCAGAGGGCTTAGCCTAGTTGCCTGGCTGGGTTCATCCCAATGGAAGAGTCTGTTAGGCCTCTTGCTCTCACCAACAGCCAAGAAGTTTTTCTCTTAAAGAGAAGCATAACAGGAGATGGGCAGGACCTCTACTCATTCCCTGTAAGGACTGCAATGTCAGAGGAATAGGGTCCTGTGGCTACCCAAAAGAAAAGGCTGGGTCCTGGTGCGATTCCTTGTGTAAATGTGAGAAGAGTTGTAACAGTACCTCCAAGTGTTTCTTCCATGATCCCTATGTCTAGCCCAGACTGAAAGGAGTTGCTGTTTCTGAGTCTTTTGTAATCTGCAGGTCACCATGGAGATGGGTCCTGAGTCAGTTCTCAGTTATCCTCCTCTGTGGTGGAGTGTCTAGCTTCTCACTACTGAGGTGGGGTGCAGACAGAGGGAGGAGGTATAGAGGGCCAGGCATAGTAATGGAGTGTTTGTGTCGTAATAGAGTGTCATGGGAGCATGGGAGAGGCTGCCTGTCGTAGTTCATTTCTGTTGCTGTGAACAGTCAGGACAATCCCTCATAGACATCACCCTCAAAGCACTTCTTCTACTGAGGCTCTCCTCTTGGACAGTTCTCAGTTGTGACAAATTGATATTGAAAACCAACCAGGACACCATTCAACCCAGCCCAGGATGACCTTGGAGAAGTTCTCAGAATTGTGATCCCTGGTGGAGCTTGTTCATGGTCAAGAAGAAAGAGGAATTTGGATGAAGCCTCTTATCCTCATAGGATCAAGAATTTAATTTTTGAAACCATTTCTGACACCGAGTTTTTTATACGTTGACTGTAATTTTGCAGGGAGAGGGGTTGGAAATTTTTTTTTTTTTTTTTTTTTGAGACAGGGTTTCACTGTGTAGCCGTGGCTATCTTTGAACTCTGTCTATAGACCAGGATGGCTCCAAACTCAAGAGATCTTCCTGCCTCTACCTCCCAAGTTCAGGGATTAAAGGTGCACATGGTGGCGTACGGCTTAGATTGTATTTTTTTTTTTAAGTGCGAAAACATTTATTTATTATAGTAAACGTTTAAATACAGACGGATGTATACACCTCTCTGTTCTTTATTATTTTGTCAAGCTTTGTGGAAATTGAAGGTGGTGAGGGGGGAGCTCCCACTCAGTGCTGGTTTGGGGCCTTTGGGATGCAGTTACCACGCTGTAATAACACAGCCAGTTTTACTGAGGCACTTTACCCGGGTAAGGTAAAGGTGGCAAAAAAAATGAGATCTAGCAGAAGGTTACAGAATGCACTAGAAAGTGGAAAAAGTACGATGCATGTTTTAGTCAGTTTTCTGTTGCCGTGAAGAGCCACTGTGTCCATGGCAACTCTTATAAAGGAAGGCATTTAACTGGGGGTGGCTTAACAGTTACAGGGGTTTAGTCCATTGTCATCATGGTGGGAAGCATGAGCATGCAGGCAGACATGGTGCAGGCAGCAGGAAGAGAGAGATTTACTGGGCCTGACTTGGGCTTCTGAAACTTCAAAGTCCATCCCTAGTGACACACTTCCTCCCACAAGGCCACACCTCCTCCAGTAAGGCCATACCTCCTAATCCTTTCAAATAGTGCCACTCCCTGGCGACCAAGGCTTCAAATCTGTGAACCTATGGGAGCCATTCTTATCACCACAGGCAGAAAACAGGAGGACCCGGACAGCAATGCAGGCCCCTCACAGAGGCGCTTCAGAGCCAGGACTGCTACTGTGGAGTCCCCAAGCCTTTATAACTGCACTGTTTTGTCATTGGCTGGAGCATCCTGGAGCTACATGAAACCTGAGCTGAGTGTAGTTGAACTACACTCAGCCAATTTCATTCTTTGTATTTGAATAGCAGTTTTATCACCCTAAGAGAAAAGCAGCCATTTTAAACACCTTTGTGTTTGCCACAAAAAGAGGTTTGACACTCTTCTTTATGGACAATTTCACACATGTACAAATGAAGGGAACATTATGATGAGTCCATGTTCTCATCCCTGGGCTCTGGCCATTATCAACTCAACTCATTGCCAGTATTGTTCTACTGATTGCCAACCATCATTCTATTCAGACTTCTTTTGACCTCTGAGTGGTCCTGAAACTTGGGCTAGGTGCTGGCGTTCTTATAGGAAGAACACAGGGAGAGCGTAGGAAGGAAAGCACTAGAAAGCAAAGGGATGTGGTGGGTGAGTGTGTGGGAGCTGAGGCCATGTTGATTTAAAGGAAACAGTTTGGTGAAGTCAGAGTGAAGAACTCTTTATGGACCCTGGGACATAGTTGTGCAGGTAGGTAACTGTCAGAGACCCCTCAAACCTCAAGGCCTGCTGGGAGACTATCTGTGCAAGGCACTGGGTCAGAACTTCCAGAGTTTGACCTCGTAGTTTATTCTTAATGCATATAAGCATAGTAAAACTTTGTGAAAAGGTTTTCCATTAGCAGTTACCACAACAAAGCTCTAGGCATACCTTGGTAGAAACTCCCTGGCAAAGTACCAAAGCACCTGTGACCTTTACAAAAAGAAGGAGTTCTATTGGCTGATAACCGAACTCAGGGCTAGGGCCTAGGGAGGAAGGGTCTGTGATAAGCAAAAGGGTAGATTCCATCCGTGGAGGAGTCAAAGTACATGTGGCATCTTTCATAGAGATTAATTTTGTTCACTGAGAGATAAAACCCAGGATTAGGGCCTCAACAGCTTTCAGGATTGGGGGAAATTCAGGTGAAGGCTGGCTTCTAATAGAATAGCAAAAGATCACTATTGTTTGAACACATTCATTCCAGCACTCAGGTCACCAGGCACCATTTATTTTCTTCCTTTGAAGAAAATAGGTCTGGGTGTTTGACAAGCCTGGTCCCTCCAGTGTTTTCTTTAAGCTGAGCCTCTTACAGGTTAATTCCCTTTGAGTATCTCATACCATTGACGGTTGATGGTTATCCCAGTAGCTGTGTGATGAGGCAGAAGGATAGGTATGTCAAGAATGGTGGACGCTCTCTTAGATTCTGCCAACATTTACTCTGTTTTACTAAAGTGATGCTCACAGCATCTCATCCCAGTCTCCATCATACCCTGACATCACAGAACCTGACCCAAGCAGCCCACTTCTGTTGCCATCCTCCCTGGCGCGTGCACCCTTTGCCTCTGGATTTTGTCTGCTCTGGTGGACTGCTGCTTAGTCTGTTTGTAGGGGCAACTAGAAGTGCAAGAGAACTGGTGCCTGCGGGGAAAAACCTGTTAGATGGAGAGAGATAGAGAGGAGATTTCTGAGGGGAGTTGACTCACACGATGGTGGGGGCTGAGAAATCTTGTGACGGGGACACGTGAAAGCTGCAGACTCCTGGAAGATAATGGGGTGGCTCAGTGTAAGAGCTCAGGCATGAGAACCAGGGGACCCCAGAGGGCAGCTGCCAGTCTAAGGCCAAGGGCCTGTGAATCTGGCAGGTGCATCTCTCAGAGGCCAATGGCAAGAAAATTCCCATTGCTTCCTTTTGCTACCATGGCTGCTGTTAATAAACGTTTTAACATTGTGATCCATTGGGAAAATGCATTTTTTTCCTAAAGTTAGATTCTTCTTTATTTTGAAAGAATAAAACCATTTTGAAAACTTCCATTAAATTTCTGAATTCAGAAGCCTCTTGACAAAAGTTGGTGTAGTTAACTCCTTGTTGCTGTTTTCATCTTTACTGTGGAAAATGGCAATTATACTTTACCTATAAAAATAATAGAGCAAATGGGATAATGAGCTTGATGTGCCTACTACTCAGCTTTACAGTTACCAGCACATGAAGATTCTTCTTGTATTTCTCTCATTACCTATCTGAGTAATCATATCTGCAAATATTTAATTTCTGAAAGGCACTCCCTTTTCCAAAAAAAAAAAAAACCAAAAAACCAAAAAACAACAACAATATGCCATACCCAAAATCCAGCAAAGATCTTTTAAATATCATAGAACATTTAGTATTCTGAATTCCTTTATTTTTTAAATGCAAGTCTTTTAACCTACAGATGCCTTTTTTATTTTTCTTTCCTGGGGCTGGCATGACACTAGTCTTCCCTCCCTAATTTTTATTGTCATAAAAATAATACAATCCAACACACAAAATGACCACTTTAACAATTTTTAAATGTAAAGTTGTCTCCATTATTTTTCAATACTGAGGTGATTGAAATACCTGAGAGAAACCATTCATAGGAGAAAAGATTTGTCTGGTTCCCGGTTTCAGAGAGATCGTAATCCATCACTCCGGTAAGCTGTGAAGGGGTGGCTGAGTTTGTGGCTGCTGTATGTAGTGGAAATTTTTCATATGGTTACTGGACAGGTAATAGAGAGCTCAGGCTGGAAGGTATAACCTTGGAAATCTGGCCCTTAGCGACCTACTTCTGCCAGCCAGGCCCTTCCTTCTAAAGGATCTGCAGCCGTCAAAACCGGGGATCAAGCACTCGAAACATGAGCCAGCAGGGTACTTCACAGATTGAAGAGAAAGGAATGGTTCTTGGACACTAAGTACATTCACATTGCTCCCCAGTCATCGTTATCATCATCATCATCACTATTGAAGGTTTTCATCATCCTTAACTGAAACTGTATTCCCTACTTTCCCTACTCTCTTCAACCCTTGGCAGCCACATAGTTTCTGTAGTCATGATTTCACTACTATCAGGAGCATCTTATAAATGGAATCAAACGGTATTTGGCCTTTTGTGACTAGCATTTTTCACTTAGCATAATGTCTTCAGTGTCGGTCTACATTGGAGCCTGTAAACGAATTTCCCCTCTTTTAGGTTGATTAATACTCCATTTGATGGGAGCTGGAGAGATGGCTCAGCAGTTAACAGCACTTGCTAGTCTTCCAGAGGATCCAGATTCAATTCCCAGGGCATCTGACACACTTTTCTGGCCTTCTCAAGTACCAGGTATACAAGTAGCATGCAGGTGGCATACAAACATACATGCATGCAAAACACTCATACGCATAAAATAAAATGAAAATAAAAAGATTAAAGGAAAGTTTCCATTTTGTCCACATACCCCACTTCATTCATTCATTGGTGACGTAACACAAAAAGAATGATAAATGTTTGTGATGATGCAAACACTGATTGCTCATTTTATCATTACCTTTTTTGTACATGTATTAGAGTATGCTATAGTTTATAAATATGCAAAATCATTATTATATGTTAATGAAAAATAGAAATACACTACAAAACTAAAAATAAAATTACCATTCGATTTGTTAATTCTTCTGGTGTTGTATGTCAAAAACCGGCAGATGCTTTTGTGTTCGAGGCCAGCCTGGTCTTCAGAGCAAGTTCTAGGATGGCCAGGCTGTTACACAGGGAAACCATGTCTTGAAAAAAAATCAAAACCCGTCAACCAAAACCGAAAACCCCTAAACAGCCCTTTGCCTTTAACTATGACAAAGCACACACAAAACTTTCAGTACTAACCATTTCTAATTGGGGGTTCTGGTTGGTAGGGGCAGCTGAGTGTCAGAATTGTTTTTCTCCTCCCCGAATAAAGCTTTATTCCAGGCTTTGGAGTCATTCCTCCCTTGGATATATCACTCCATGTCAGATTGCAAAGGCAAGGGTGTGTAGGAACAGCTTAGCAACCAGGGACCTCACTGGACTTGAGCTGTGCAGTCACATCTCTTTAAGAGCCTGTGACTCTCACCTGGAGGCAGAACAAAGGCTTATGGTCACTCGCACCCATAGCTCCCTGGTAATCTCTGGTAAATCCCTCTTGGCCCCTTTGTGGTCAGACATGCCCCGGAACATAGAAATTAGGAACAGTAGAACAATCCAGTCTGGACTAGTTTTGGGCGTATGCATACAAACAAGGCAAACTGTGTCCTCAGAGTAAACTTTTAGGGGAAAGCCCCTATTTAGCATCCTAGGAGTGTGTGTGTGTGGTTGAACAGGCACGTGATTAAAACCTGATGCCTCATTGGAAAGGACATGTGAGGGGAATAAGGGCTTGCATAACTCCAGCCTTTCAATCAAACCAGGAAACCATCCATCCCTTGCCCCTCAGCAACTCCTCCTCTTGGACCCAC